TGAAATGCCTTTTGATTATGCTGCAGACTAATATCCCCATGGGTACAAATAAAGTTTCTATCTATCTAAATACCACCACCAAGCCTCAGACCATTGATTTAAATGGACATTTGTGGTGTCGTATTGTCTGCATGGCCTGTTACCCATAGCTGTGTAGGTCTAAAATAAGGAGTGAAGAGCACACGATGCAACGAGACACAATACGTGTGAAATAGCATTACTCAGTTTTGTATTGTTGGGTGCAGTAACATCCCTGTTAGCTCGATGCCTCAGATATCATAGGGTGGCCTACAGTGTACACTGTAGCAGATAGTGTTGTCATGGCAACAATAATAACTGATATGAGAACTTCAAAAAGACGACATGAACCCTAGTTCTGAGATGTGGTTGAAAAGTACAACCCAGCCTCTGTATCCATGGGTTCCGCATCCTTGGATTCAATCAACCACGGATTGAAAATGTATATATAAAAACAAAAAATTTCATGACGCTCCAGAAGGCAAAACATGAATTTGCCACGCACCAAGCACTATGCTGAATCCACGTGACTGAAGTGATATGTAGTTCTGGAACTTCATGAGTGTTAGCACAGTGTGTGCGTGTTTGTGTGTGTGTGTGTGTGTGTGTGTGTGTCTATATGTGAGGGTCACGCACACATTACGCTGCCCCAACAAGGTGATAAAACATTGCCACAAGCAGAAACTCAGTTTTATAAAAATCTGAGACTGCAATCAAAAAACTAAAAATATCAAACGTCTGGCATTTTGTTTGATTACTTATGGATAAGGTTAGGGCTGGGTAGGGGTTACAGTTGTCATTGTTGGGATTTGGGTTTTCCCCAGAGAAATGATTGGACGATCTAAACAAAGACATGCATACAAACATGTATGTTTGTGTGTGTGTGAGTGAGTGAGTGAGTGAGTGAGTGAAAGAAAGAGAAAGAGATTGAGAGAAAGAAAATTCCCTCAATATCTCTCAGTATAATAATTTTCTATATGCACTACGACGGCTGCATCTGTACTGAACACGTACACTTTTTTTCTTGTTATTGTTCCCTAAACCATACAGTACAACTATTTGCATAGCATTTACATGGAATTAGGTATTATAGATAATCTAGAGATGATTTCAAATATACAGAAGGATGTGCATAGGTTATATGGAAATACTACGGCATTTTATATAAGGGACTTAAGCATGTACAGATTCTGGTACCCACGGGAGATCCTAGAACCAATCCCCAGTGCATAGCGAGAGCTGACTGTATGTCATACTGTTATTAGAAAGCCTAATCGTCAAGTCTAAATAAACATTAAATAAAACACATTACTGATCTCAAACTGAAAATGATCACTAACAAAATATGTAATAACTTTTGCTTTTTAGTGCCAAATATCACATAATTGCACATTGAAATACTTCACTTCTCCTACTGTTATTCAATCTGTTCTAAAAACAAAAAATCCTACTATTATGAAAGGATTTCCTGCAATCGGTGAGGATTAAAACAGTGGTTTATGCAGTGTTGTAAAACAAGTAGCGTCTATCAGTTTTGGCAATTAAACGCGTGTGGGACTTTGAGATCTTGCACAGAAACCACATGGTGATTTAGAATTATAATTGCAATCATATCTTAACGGCTGACATACCTGGAGGCAGCGCGGTAAATGTAGGCCAAGGAGCCTGCAGGAAAATCAACCCTCTTCCTCCCTTGCATATCAGCCATTAAGTAACACTTACACTGATTCTTTTAGTACTTTGCTCTATCCATAGCACTAGCGAACACAGATACAGTGTAATAAATCATGGGCCTTCAACACGCACACACACAGGACCAGTGTGTGCAGTAAGGCTGAGCACAGCATTTCCAAGGGGGAAAAAAAACTACAAACAAGGGCAAAATTTTAAGTAGTACAATAATTCACCTGAACCGCTTCAGAAAAACAGGTAGAGTTGTAAAATTTTAAGCCACTCGGGCTCAAAGTGACCACTGCATGAACACTAAGTCTCCCAAAGCACTGCTGAGCTCGGCACTGGGGCACTGCCTCACCTTCTTCGGCAGTTGTGCCAGCTGCTCCTTGTAGAAGGCATCCAGCAGCTTCAACTCAGCCTCCTTCTTCTCCAGCTGCTTGGCCTGCATGACAGAGGAAAGGGCAAACCCACAATGCATCAGTGCAGCTTCCAGTGGGCAACCTGCCCCTTAGCCATTCCAAAGCATATATCAGCCTCTGCTCTGTCATCTAAAACATTTAGAAAGCAACACTTTTTAGAAGAAGATCAATGCCCTAATAAGGAAACAGCAAAAGTAAATGAAGCATGTAATATGGTCCAAGAGCTATAGCGCCACCATCAGGCTGAGCTGAGCGACTGCAGGAATTTGACTATATGTGGATGTGGACCAGGCACCACAAAAATTCTGTGGCTGAAAAGATGCGCTGCAGTGCTATGTAAGACTTGCTCCAGGCATGATGGCAAACAGAAGCACATGACTGACACGGGGATGGCAGGACACAATACAGACTTTACAGGAGAGGAGACAGCTTTCTGCAAAAGAGACGGAAAGAATGAACACAATGGCACAAGGGAAGCGCAGGAGAAGAGCGGGCGCCGGGTGTCAGGTCTCAGGTCTGAGCACGTGCGCCGGGGCTGAGAGAGAGCGCAGAATGAATGCCCCCCCCCACACGCCACAGCGGACTACCTGCATATAAACACGACTGAGGGCTCACTGCACTGAAACGACCAAGCAGACAGGATGGTGCGACTCTGGGACACATGACAGCATGCTCAGTTCTGGGCAGTAGTGAGTGGTGGAGGAGGCGGGGGGGGGGGCAACCAGCCCTGGACCAATCAAAGCAGGGGGCCCACTGCAAAATTTACCAAGGGGGAACACCTCCCTCCTGCCTATAATATCTTACCAAGTACCCCTTTTGATAACAGACGATCACTCAAAATTCACAGCGATTTACCAAGCCTCAGACCATAGATTTAAACTAATATGTCTGGTGTTGTATTGTCTGCATAGCCTGTGTACCCATAGCTGTGTGGGTCAGAAAAAAGAACAAACACGATGCAGCGAGAGACAATACGTGTGAAACGGCATCACTCAGTGTTGACTATTTACCAATTTGCCAAGGGGGACCCCCCCCCCCTTCCAGGCAGGTCGGAAAATTATACCGAGGGGCTCCCACACTCAAGCCACCACCCCCAATCACCCACCCAACTGCCCCACTGTGATGCCCCTCTGCCCTGGCTCCGGGCTACTTGGCCAAGAAGTTGCCACTGTGCTGCCCCAGGAACAGGAGGAGGACAGAGCAGCGGGGGGGGGGGGCATTCCGGCTCCCTCTGCGCCGGCGAGCTCAGCAGCCTCCATCAGCACCTGCCTGATGTGCAGTTTTCCAGCTGAATGACTTCAGTGGGCCGCAGTGGCCGTGCAGTGATCACGCCTGGATGCCGCTCAAACGCGGAATGGGAACAGGCGCCGTCGACCCGCTTGTTCGGTCTGGCCAGCTGCAGAGGGTGAGCGAACCTCACATTAACGGGAGATTAATCGCGTTTGGCTCCTAACATGCTCTCCAAAGAAGTTCCGTTCCACCGATGATAAAACAGGGGACTCAAATAAAAGATGTTATTCTTCATCGTTAAAGAGCCGGCAGACTGTTACCGCCGCTGTGATGAATCCAGGCCCGTCGTTTAATTTCACAACACAGGGGGTCAGAAGCATGACGGAGCGTCTGGGCACACAGAGCCCGTCCGGCTCGAGCAAAGGGGGCCATGGTGAGGGGCCCTGCGGTCTGGGGGCTGCTAGCAGGCAGCAGTGTGGGTGCTGAGAACATGAAGATCGGAGGAGCAGGAAGGGGCCAGACCCAGCCCAGGTGAGACGTAAAGGGGACATGGGGAACGAGAATCCGCTCTTTGCTGGGAACGGGGAGAGGCAGACATAAGGCCTCTTAAACACAAAAATGAGGCACTCTTTTGGATTCCACAGCCTGAAAATGGAGATGCCTGATCGTCACCCACACCGGCATTAAGGGCTACCCACCAGCTTCACTGCGGTATCCCCTCTAAGGCTCTGCAAAACGACAGCAGGAAACTGCTGAGACTTCCAGCCCAATGAATTTATGCAGGGAACATCGGAGGAGAGCTGAAGATCCTTAAATCCCACCTTTAGCTGACAGAATGACAGGCTTCCCTGCATATTGTCATCTGCCACTTGGGCTTTTCTTCTTGCCTGAACATGGTGCCGCAAAAAACAAAAGGAGCCCTTCTAATCTGTCCTCTGTTCTATTCTTGCACGTCAAACATACTCCCACGTTAATAAGCACGACACACACGCAGACTCACTTTCCATCATATGTTAACATACAGTACATGCACATACAAAGCCACAGCACACAGACACATCAGTTAACACTCACACACACAGCCTGCTACACGTTAGAACACACTGTTGCCCCTGCACACCTCTGAGTGCCTCCAGGGGGCGCCCTCTGCCTGCGTGCCTCATACACACCCTTCAAGGGCGATGGCAGCGGGTTCCCATGTTGCATTTCATCATATTTCCTGTTTACTTACCTAATGCATTTATTTAGCACAAAGCTACAGGCAGCACAATAAATTAGCAGTTAATAATCAAACAGATTAGCCTGAATGCAAGCTGCCTGCCTCTTCTGATTTGCACCTTTAATAATTGAGCTTCTCTGTAACACCCCGTTAAGTTTTTATTAAAGCAAAATCAAACCACCCAAAGAATTTTTAAAGTATGGAAAAAATGTAACCGAATCTATTAAATGAAGAATGGCTTAGAAGGAGCCATTATAACCACATGCATCCACACGGGATGGAACAAAAAGTGTGCCACGTCAAAATCTAACGTCCAACCAGGATGCTTGTGGAGTCAGAAATGCCAGCAGGACTGGGGGGAGGTTCTGGATAAAAGGAGAGTCAATGAATCAATGCCTTTGATTACATGGGAAGGAAAAGCTAAGACCATGTTTAGGAGACGCTGCGCATTCGAATGGCAATTCCTGTGCTGAAAGAAGCACTGGACCTGCCAGGAGATGACCAGACACCAATCTTACATGCAGGTGTGAATCAACCAATGAATGCTGACTCTGCACTGTAGCTCTACCAATCAAGGCAGACTCTGCGTTGTAGATCAACCAATCAAAGCATGCACTATGCTGTAAATCAACCAATCAAGGCAGACTTTGCGCTGTAGTTCAACCAATCAAGGCAGACTCTACACCGTAGATGAACCAATCAAGGCAGACTCTACGCCGTAGATGAACCAATCAAGGCAGACTCTACACTGTAGATTAACCAATTAAGGCAGACTCTACGCTGTAGATCAACCAATCAAGGCAGACTCTAGGCTATAGATCAGATACTGGTCAATCCTAAAAATACAGAACGCTGGGGATGAGGGGTGCCTTACCCGAACTAGCCTGGAAGCTAAGCACAGAATGACAAAGTGAAGGAAAATGGATCACTTGTGGCCATAAAGCATGGATGTAAAACACGCCCTGCACACACTTCCAGCCTCTGGGGGAGGTGGCGGGGGGGGCTCCGGCTTGGATAAAATCTCCCCCTGCCTGTAGCCGACTCACTGGCAATTACTTACGTTCCCAGCCGCCGAAGAGCGAAGGCTTAGCAGCTTTACATGCAAAAAGATGTCAGGGACTGTGATTACAATTACTGATAACAGGCTGTTATCTGTGTGCCGCTATTCATTTCACAAGCTGGATTACTCTCGCCAGACTCCTCTGAAATTGGAAAGGAAAAAAGCTTCTGGAGGGCGCTATGGAGATGGGCAGGGCAGCAACTCATAACCACAGTAACTGCAATTACCTCAGTAACCACACTTGAAGCTCCAGGTCCCAGAGAATTGGGTTAAGACAGTCCTGGGTTGCTGCCCAGCTTAGTAGAGACCCCTACTTACCTAAAATCTTTTCTCATCCTGAAACGCACCAATATACCTGACATGTTTTCACATGCAACCTGGCCTGACCACAAACCAAGGGATTCCTCAAAACCAACGTACTGCAAACAAAAGAAGCAGCACAATATGAAGGTGACCCTCAAACAAGCACAGATCACTAGAGCGAGAAGAAATAGGCAAAGCCAAGCGTGAAAAGAAGAGCAAAGTCTGACAGTGACAGTCCCTTTTCAGGGGGCAGCCTGTACAGTAGGGAGGACACCGGCCTCATTGTCTCCTGACACCTGCAGGACTCCCATCTCTCACTACTTTAAGCTATAAAGCACCCTAATTCTCCTGCTGACTGACTCCTCCACCACATGTCTCCATCTTCTGTCACCCAAGAGCCACCCTGAACCACAATCTGTCTCACTACGACTACACTGTCGGTCTCCCAAGTCCTCCACACCGTTCTGGGTCTACAGAAAGGCTTTGTTTGCTCAAAGATCTCAACTTCAAGCCCAGGAGGCTGGCTTGCCACTCCAGCACAAAGATCTCTGAAGTGAGAAACAGTGTGGCAGTGGGTACCACAGTGGATTACGCCTCTGTGCTAGTTGCCGGTTGAGTCCAGTCCTTGGCAGAATAGTCGTATGTCTTATGTCCTTGAGCGAGGCTCTTAACCCCCAAAATACACCAGTGCTGCTGGATAAATACCCTGACCTTGCTCCTGGACCCTAAGCCTCACTTTAAACTGAATATGTGTCTCAAAAGAAAGCAAGATCGACACGTTAACATTTGTTTGTACTTAGAAATTGTTGCATGCAGCATTGTGAATAGTTTTTTTTTTGTCTTTTGCATAGCTGTGTCCTGTGCAGTCTGTAATAAACAATCAAACAATAAAAGTATTCTGATTCTGAATTTGAAGACAGCGCATGCAAAAAGAAGCCTTCCGATGTACCTGTACTTGTACTTATGCAAAGGACAGACAAATCAGCATTTCATTTTTTTTTTTCATTTCACTGCTGCATTTCAAGAGCAGAGTAAACAAGACCAGGAGATGGGAGGGAGCAAAAATATGGACTATCTGTGACCCACCAAGGACCGGACTGGGAAACACTGATGTACAGGACTATTACCGGGAAGCAACCATACTTAACAGAATAAACATTTTAAAAATTATCTTTCATTTCCCAGTTATCATTCACCTTTCAGAAACGAGG